CTTTTGATCCAGTGATACCACTACTAGGTCTGCATCCCAAAGAGATCATAAAAAGGGAAAACCTACATTTGCAAAAATATTTATAGTAGCCCTTTTTGTGGTGGCAAAATATTGGAAAGTGAGATACCCATCAGTTGGGGAATAGCTGAATAAGCTGTGGTGTGTGAATGTAATGGAATATTGTTGTGCCATAAGAAATGATGAACAGGCAGATTTTAGAAAAACCTGGAAAGACTTGTGTGAACTGATGCAAAGTGAAATTATCAGAACCAAGAAAACATTGTACGCAGTATCATCAAAATTGTGGGATGATCAACTGCGAATGGCTCAGTTCTCAGCAACACAATGATCCAAGAGAAGTACAAAGGACTCATGAAGGAAAATGCCATCCACATCCAGAGAAAGAACTAATGGACTCTGAATGCAGATCGAAGCATATAGGTTTTTGTTTTTTACATTATTCTTTTTTGTGTTTTTTTCCCCTTTTGATCTGTTTCTTCTCTCACAACTGTAACTAATATGGAAATGTGTTTTACATGATAGTACATGTATTATCTGTACCAAATTGTCTACCATTTTCAGAAGAGAGGAAGAGAGGGAGGGAGAAAAATTTGAAACTCAAAATCTTGTAAAAACAAATGCTAAAAATTGTCTTGACATGTAATTGGGAAAAAATAAAATACTATTTAAAATTTTTAAAAAGAAAGTCTCAGAGGATCAACTAAAAAACTACTTGAAATTAACAATTTTAGCAAAGTTGCAGGATACAAAATAAATCTATATAAATCATCATCATTTCTATATATTACCAACAAAGTCTAGCTGCAAGAAAGAGAAATTTCATTTAAAATAACTGTAGACAGTATAAAATACTTGGGAGCCTCTGTATGCCAAGACAAACCCAGGAGCTATGTGAACACAGCTATAAGACACTTTTCACACAAATAAAGTCAGCTCTAAACAACTGGAAAATATTAATTGCTTATGGGTAGGCCGAGCCAATATAATAAAAATGACAGTTCTACCTAATCTATTCATTCAGTGCCAACCAAACTATCAAAATTTATTTTATAGAGCTAGTAAAAATAATAACAAAATTAATCTGGAAGAACAAAAGCTCTCAAAGATATTAAGGGAATCAATGGAAAAAAATGTGAAAGAAGGTGGTCTACTGTACCAGATCTCAAACTATATTATAAAACAATAATCATCAAAGTAATCTCGTACTGGCTAAGAAACAGAATGGTGGATCAAGTGGAATAGATTAGGTACAAATTACATTATAGTAAATGACCACAGTAATCTAGTATATGATAGACCTAAAGATCCAAGCTTTTGGAACAAAAACTTATTATTTGACAAAAACTTCTTGGAAAACTGGAAAACAATATGGCAGAAACTGTATAAACCAATATCTTACATGGTATGCCAAGATAAAGTCAAAATGGGTACATGATTTATACCAAAAGAGTGATACCATTAGCAAATTAAAAGAGTATGAAATAGTTTATCTGTTGGATTTATGGATAAGGGAAGAATTTAGGACCAAAGAAGATATAGAGAGCTTCATAAAATGTAAAATAGATAATTTTGATTTTACAAAATTAAAAAAGTTTTTGCACAAACAAAACCAATGCAACCAAAATTATAAGGAAAGCAGAAAACTGGGAGGAGGGGGGATTTGCAACAAGTATCTCTGATAAAGGCTTCCTTTCTCAAATATATAGAGAACTGAGTCAAATTTATAAAAATACAAGTCATTCCCCAACTGATAAATGGCTTCAAAGAATATGAACAGGCAGGCAGTTTTCAGATGAAATCAAAGCTAATCTATAGTCATGTGAAAAAATGTTCTAAATCACTATTAATCTGAAAAATGCAAATTAAAGCAACTCTGGAGTACTATTTTCACACCTATCAGAGTGGCTAATGTGACAAAAAAAAGGAAAATGTTGGATGTTGGAGGGGATATGAGAAGACTGGGACACTAATGTACTGTTGGTGGAGTTGTAAACTGATCCAATCATTCTAGAGAGCAATTTGGAACTATGCCCAAAGGGCTTCATACCCTTTGATCCAGCAGTACCACTGTTAGGTCTATATCCCAAAGACATCCAAAAAAAAGGGGAGAGGACCTATTTGTACAAAATATTTATAGCAGCTCTTTTTGTGGTGGCTAAGAATTAGAAATTAAAGGGATGCCCATCAGTTGGGGAATGGCTAAACAAGCTGTGGTGGAAGACTGTAATGGAATGTTATTGTGCTGTAAGAAGTGATGAGCAGGCAGATTTCAAAAAAAACTTAGAAAGATTTACATGAACTGATGCATAGTGAAGTGAACAGAACCAGGAGAATGCTGTACACAGTAACAACAATATTGTTCGATGAACTGTGAATGACTTAGCTATTCTTAGCAATACAACGATCCAAGATGATCCCAAAGGACTAATGATGAAGCATACTATCCGCCTCCAGAGAAAGAACTGATATTGTTTGCATACAAGCTGAAGCATGCTATTTTTCACTTTCTTTCATTTTTTATTTTAGTCTTCTTATACAAAATGACTAACATGGAAATGTTCTACATAATTGTACATGTTTAATAACCTATATCTGGTTGCTTACCATCTCGGGGAGGGGAGGGAGAGATGGAGGGATAGAATTTGGAACTCAAAACTTTAAATAAAAATGTAAAAAAAATAAGAGGAATTATACTTGTTCTGTTTGTCCCAGAAGGCAGTTATATGGAAAGTGTAGAAATCCACCTTTAGGCTTGCTTTATGGGAAACCTTTCGTGTTAAAGTCATCCACAAGTAGAACAGGCTTTGCCTTGGGAGGAGTTTGGTTTCCTCTCACCTCACTTCAATACAAGAAATATTAACTTCCTACTTTGTAAAACAAGGATGCTGGAGCTACATAGACAAAAATTAAACAATACCTGCCTTCAAGGAGCTTACATTCTAATGGTAGAATAAAACACACACAGAGACAAGTAAATATAAAGTATATACAAAGTAATTTCAAGAGGAAGAGAGGAGTAACAACTTGGTGAATCCAATTGGAATGATTTTCTCTAGAAGATGACACCTCAGTTGTGTTTGGAAGGAAGCTAGGGATTCTAGGAAGCACAAGAGAGGAAACAGTTCATTGAAGACATAGGGCCACCACCTCTGCAAATAAATGGAGGTCAGAAATGTTTGTGGGGGAAAACTAGCAGGTCAGTTTGAGTGGAATGGAGAGTTTGTGAAGAGAAAAAAGATTGAAAAGGTAGGTTGAAACCTTATTATGGAAAATTTTTAATTTTTATATTTTTATTCTGAGGCAATAAAAAAACTGAAGATTTTTGATTAGGGAAGTCACATGATCAGATCATTGTTTTAGAAATATGATTTTTACATTTGTGTAAAGTATTATTTGGAGAGAGAGGGTTGCAGAAGACTGTTGCAGTGGTTCAGGTGAGGCTTTGGAAAGAAGGGGGTTGATGTAGGAGATGTTATGGAGGTGAAATTGAGAAGACTTGGCAAATGTAAATTAGGTGACTGCTTCTTGGATATGTTTTAGAGGTGATTCTTGGTCAGGAAGAGATTGGATTAGATGTAGTTACCTCCCAATTTTGAGATTCTGTGAATTTGTGACTGAGCTAATTTCACAGAATCCAAGATCAAAATATTCCCATGCAGCCAAAGGCCTCCTCTGTGGACAACAAAGTGATAAGAAGGGCTTCTTAGCATTTGGCCTTGCCACCCACAAAATGGTCCCACTTTGGGTTAGCATAATCACAGAACCCTTACTCATTATCCTTAAGGCTTCCTGGTTCCATATCTGTAATCCCTCTATTCTCTTAAATAGAAATCTTGTCCTCTTCCACTTTGTCTAGTATTTATACTTCTTTTTTTCCCTTAAAATCAGGGATTGTCAGCTAGGGACCACCCTTTGACTTTCTGACATCTTGGGGATCTATCCAGATGGGGTATTTGCATTAATAGAAAATAGTCACAGCCAGAATATCCCAGGCTATGCCTCCACTTATCCATTCAGCATGTGGATTTAAAACTCTACTTGGGAAACAAAGGGCTACATCACTTTCACCATACTGACTATTTTGCAAAGTTTTGACTGAGGGCATAGATCCCGTCTGGAAACACATGCAGTGTCAAGGCCATAATTAAAGACTGTGTACATATTGCTAGAAAACTTAGAGGGGATTTACTTCTTATCTCATAGGGAGCCTCATTTTTTTTACCAAAAGAAAATTTGGAAGATTGTATCTCTGCATATATTAACATATGTTCAATCAGCTACCACTAAAGACATATCTGGGAACATAGGTCTTTAAGCAACCTGATGGTTTCCCTGACTAGTTCTTTGATGACTTTTGAACACAAAATATATGCTTGCCAAAAAGACTTTTATGGAGAACTCACACAGGGCAAGTGTTCACATGGCAATCAGAAGAAGCAATACAAGGACACTCTCAAGGTCTCTCTTAAGAACTTTGGAATTGATTGTGTGACATGGGGGACCACTCAGCATGGCATGCCCACGTCAGAAAGGTGCTGTGCTCTTTGAGCAAAGCAAAATTGAAGTAGCTGAAAAGAAACACAAGATGTGCAAATTTAGAGACCCACCGCAAATGCACATGTGGACTATTTGTGCCCTACCTGTGGTAGAACGTTCTGAGCTCATATTGCTATGATCAGCCACAGTCCAACACACTGAAACTTGATTCTAGCATAGTGATGTCATTTTGGTCCTCTTCGAAAACAAAGGACAACAACAGGTACCAGTCTGTGATGACTCCATGGTTTTGACTTAACACTCAGAGAGAATGTGTAGAAAAACACACTTCAGATTGGAGACATTTCAAATAAAAAATACCATATCTTTGGCACACTATTTAGCAACCTGGTGACTTTTCAACACTTTAATAGGGCGTTCAGAGAATTCTCTGGTCATTTCACGGTTACCTATTTGAAGATTTGCTCTTTTTCTTCTTTCAGCCAGAGCACACCCAGTATATGTGAGCAGTTCTGTAGAGCTCCAGGAATGCTGACTATTTGACAAACCAGAGAAATGCACCTTTGACTGCAAGACTGTTAAATTCCTGGCCCAGCTATCTTCCCGGAAGGACTTCAAATGGACCTTTACAAGTTATCTACAATGATAGACTAAGAACAACCTACCAAGGTATGTAGGCTGTTAACAATTGGACTTTTCTAACATGACATAGAATTTTATTAGCAGCTATTCCTAAATTGTGATATATATCATGACCTTATTTAATAAAAGTGCTTGTTTTCAGTGAATTTTGGTTACCTGAGCAGCTTTTACATAGGTCAAAGCAGCCTAAACTTTCATTCCTAATTTGTTCAGTCCCTAAAATTAGTACAGCTCCTTCTATACTCTTGCAGGTACCCCACTGCAAGGCCTCACTTGACAGTTGGAATAATCACCAGCTCGTAATTCAAGACAATCTGAACCAGCTATTCAAAAAAAACATACAAAGTTAGCAAAAAGACAGCTTGTCATTGCTAAGTGGTTGTCTGTCTCTTTTCTGAATGCCAATTATCATTCTATAAAATTTGACCAGTAATACCACAGATCTTTTTTCATTATCCAGTAAATTTACTCAATTACATTCAAGTTTACACTCCCTTACTCAAGAGTCGTCTGGTGTTCTGTCTTCTTCCTCAAGTTCTATGTACAAAATCCCTTTCCTAATTTTTTTTCAGCATTCACTTTTATAAGATTTTGAGTTCCAAACCTTTTTTGTTCCTCTTCTCTCCATGATGGCAAGCAATGTGATATAGGTTATACATGTACAATCATATTAAACATATTTCCACATTAGTCATGTTGTGAAAGAAGAATCAGAACAAAAGCAGGAAAAAAAAACAAGAGAAAGAAAAAACAAAAGAAAAAAAAGGTAAAAATAGTACACTTTGATCTGCATTCAGACTCCATAGTTCTTTCTCTGGATGTGGATAGCGTTTTCCATCATGAGTCTTTTGGAATTGTCTTTGTATACAATTTGTCGTTGTATTGCTAAGAAGAGCCAAGTCTATCGCATGATATTGCTGTTATTGTGTACCATGTTTTGGTTCTGCTCACTTCACTCAGCATCAGTTCATATGTGTCTTTCCAGATTTTCTGAAATCTGCCTGCTCATAATTTCTTATAGCGCAGTAGTATTCCGTTACATTCATATACCAAAACTTGTTCAGCCAGTCCCCAGTTAATGGGCATCCCCTCAATTTCCAATTCTTTGCCACCACAAAAAGAGCTGCTATAAATATTTTTGTACATGTGGGACCTTTTCCCTTTTTTATGATCTCTTTGGGATAAAGACCTAGTAGTGGTGTTGCTGGATCAAAGGAAAGGCACAATTTTATAGCTCTTTGAGCACACTTCCAAATTGTTTTCCAGAATGATTAGATCAGGTCACAACTCCACCAACAGTGCATTAGTGTTCCCATTTTCCTTTTCTGTCATATTAGCCAGTCTGATAGGTGTGATATGGTACTTCAGAGTTGTTTTGATGTGCATTTTTCTGATTAATAGTGATTTAGAGCATTTTTTCATATGACTATAGATAGCTTTGATTTCTTTGTCTGAAAACTGCCTGTTCATCTCCTTTGAAGCCATTTATCAGTTGGGGAATGACTTGTATTTTTATAAATTTGACTCAGTTCTCTATATATTTGAGAAATGAGGCCCTTACTAGCAGTAAAAATTGTTTCCCAGTTTTCTGCTTTCCTTCTAATCTTGGTTACATTATCTTTTCTCAGTTTAATGCAAGAAACGTACATCAAATACCTACCATGTTCAATACTTAACTTAGTACTCTGCTAGTTAATGTTTCTGGTCTGTTGTTTCAACTTTAAAACTTGCCTTTCTGGAACTACCCTTCTTTTTGGAATAAAATCTCTTCAGTTCTTTTAGAAAAAAAGATCCTTTATATTTTTTTCTGGAGAACCCCCTCACGATCTCATTCTCTCCCTCCCTTCCTTCTCCCCTCCACCCCCCTATCTGGTTTTCTTTCTGTAATGAACAAGTTTCCCTTCTCAGCTAGAGTATTCCATCTGAATTTTCCCTGTGTACTAATCCAGTTCAATCCAGTCAACATTTATTAAGTGCCTAATGAGTGCCAGCTCCTGTGCTAAGGGCTAGGGATACAATTAATTTTTTTAAAAAAGGGTGGAGGGGATGATCCCTACCCTCAAGGAGTTTAAAATCTAAAGGTGGAGACAACACACAAAAGGAGGCAGGAAAGAATGAGGGGAAGGGCAGGGAAGTGGGGCACGCTGAGCATCTTGTTCCATGGAGTTGAAATAAGATAGAGCACTTCTACAGCAGTGGTGTAAATTAGAAACAGATCCTTTCTGGCCACATATGGACTTAGAAAATCACAATTTAGAACTTATCCAGCCATTCTGGAAAGCAATTTGAAACTATGCCCAAGGGCTATAAAACTGTGCATACCCTTTGATCTAGCAATACCACTGCTAAGTCTGTATCCCAAAGAGAATTTGAAAAAAAAAAAAAGGAAAAGGACCTACTTGTACAAAAATATTTATAGCAGGTCTTTTTATGGTGGCTAAGAATTGGAAATTGAGGGGATGCCCGTCAATTGGGGAATGGCTGAGCAAGCTCTGGTATATAAATGTAATGGAATATTATTGTGCTATAAGAAATGACAAGCAGGATGATTTCAGAAAAACCTGGAAAAACTTACATGAACTGATGCAAAGTGAAGTGAGCAGAACTGTGAATGACTTAGCTATTCTTAGCAATACAATGATCCAAAGGACTCATGATGAAACATGCTATCCGTCTCCAGAGGAGGAACTAATATTGTCTGAATATGGATTGAAGCATATTATTGTCTGTTCCTTGCTTGCTTCCTTCCTTTTCCTCTTTTGTTTGTATCTTCTTGTACAAAATGACTAATATGGAAATGTTTTTACATGATTGCACATGTATAACCTATATCAGATTGCTTACCATCTTAGGGAAAGGGGAGGAGAAGGAGGGAGGGAGGGATAGAATTTGGGACTCAAAACTTTTTAAAGAAATGTTTATTGTTTTAACATGTAATGGGGGAGGGTGATAAAATATTTTTTAAAAAATCAATTTAACACCATCTATGCTATTATTGTTCATTCATTTCAATCATGTCTGACTCTTCGTGACCCCATTTATGGTGTTCTTGGCAGAGATCCTGCACCAGTTTGCCTTTTTTTTTTTCAACTCATTTTACAGATGAAGAAACTGAAGCAAACAATTAAGTGACTGTACCTAGGGTTACACAGGTAGTTAAGTGTCTGAGGCTGGATTTGAACTCAGGAAGATGAGTCTTCCCAACTTCAGACCAGGTACTCTATCCACTGTGTCACCTAGCTGCCTAAATCTATGCTGTACTTTTTTATTTTGTTAAGTTTCCTAATTATATTTTAATCTTATTCTGGCTACACTTTGGAGTTTTGCAGGCAGCAAGTTTGATGCCTCTGTACTAGAGGACTCTAGTAATGTTGATCAGTCTCAATCTCCTCAGATGGTTGCTGGGTAAATGATTTAGCAACTTGGAATTTGAGAGGAACTAGCTTTTATATTCTATGTATGAAAGAAATTTAACTGAACACATAGCACATACGGGTACCTAAGCAGATTTCTCCACAATTGCCAAATCTGCCATATATGTATCTCGCTTTATTATGAGGCCTGGGGACTCTCTTTTGCACAGTATTTGGCACATAGTAAGCACTTAATAAATGCTTTTTCATTCATTGACTTCATTCAAAATCAAATTTCTTCCTAAGCTTTGGCTAATCTAACATCTTCATCTTTTTATTAGGTCTGAGAGCCTCTAGAACCTATTTTGAGTTCTTGATATGTATACCATATTCTACCTTGGCTTCTTCAAAGAACTTATCCACTCAATACTTCCACTTCACTTCAATTGATTCCTCAAGTGTATATGTCCAAATAGGATTTTCTCAAGCTCTAGACTTGTATCACCAACTGTCTACTCAACATTTCTACCTAAATGCCCTTCTGTTATGGTAATAACTACATATTGAGCAACAACTAAGAGTAAAACACTGAAAGGTGCTGGGCATATAAAGTTGAATAAAACAAGAACCCTGTCTAAAACTTAACTCATCATCTTCCCCAAAATCATCATCTCTCCTAACTTTCCTATTTTCATTAGGTACTTTCTCTATCATCTCAAGGACCTATGTACAGAAGTTCAGTTATCTTAAATCTTTCTCTTTCCATTGCTTCCTCCATATGCAGTCATTTTCTGAGTCCTATTGATTTCTATAATAATTCACTTCATTCTACTTTTTCCATTCCTAATATCGCCATTATATGGGCCCTTGTGAATGAATGAAAAAAATTTGTTGAGTGTTTCCTAAATACTGGGGAAGAGAAGAGAGAGAGAGATGAAATATTCATATTAATTGATTACTACTCCCACTGGAAGAAGTACAAAGAAGATTGAAGCTCTTGAAGCTACATAGTAGAAGATGTGGTTAGGAAGCTAGGCATGACCACATAAAGTGAGCTCTTAACAATTAACATGGCCTCAGGGAAGGATGGCCATTTTTGTGGAAGAAGTAATTCTGGATGGCATGACTGGAAAAGCACCTATCACCTAAAATTATAGAATCGTGAAATTGTAGAGAAAGAAATGATATTAAGAGAACCTAATCCAACTCATCCATTTTTATTTTATGTTAGTTTGGTTTATCTTGTTTTTGTTGATAAATTTTGATTTGACACAGCAGACTAACGTAACAAAGCATACTCCCTGAAACAACTAAACAAAATAACTAGTTTGTAGTTACTAAAGAATAACTACAATTGATGGCACATAAAACTATTAAAAGAATAATTGCATTTTAACATCAAGAAAATAGTACCATTGCTTTAAATCAGAGTTTTGCTGTTTAATGTCTTTTTTCTTAATTTTATTTTTTTAGTGAACAGAAATCTATTTTCTGTCTCTTGCCCCACTTAAAAAAAAAAAAAGAAATTCCCTGAAACTAATATGCAAAATCGAGCAAAAACAAATTCTTCTGTTGTCTGTGCTCAAAAATTATTTGTCTCATTTTTTACACTAAATCCGTTTCCTCTCTGTCAAGAGGTGGACAGCATACTTAAATTATTGGTCTACTTGAATC